CAAAGAAAGGTTTATTTTAAAGAGATTTGAAAGTGTGACTTTTCTCTAATGGCATGAATCCCGTAAAGATTCACAGAAGAACAACAAAGCTTTAAAAAGGAATTACATATGCAGAAACATTTCTGACAGAAAGGGATATTGTATAAAATGATATGAAGTCTTTGGACCCCCTAAATTCTACTGGCAGGAAGCACATTAAGAAAACGACTCAGTTGCAAACCCACATTACCTTTCATGAAAGTGGAAGGATTACTCAGAGTGTGGAACCAAGTTCTCAGAGGGCAGAGCTACCAGACGTGAAGAATTATTTTCATACCTTGAGACATGATCAAAGAACTTTAAACACTTTCCCCGTTGGATTTCAGAATTGCTATGGACCTGTGACTCCTTTTTGCATCCCCCTTTGGAAAACCTAGTGGCAGTGGTGTAGTGGTTAAGAGCTATGGCTGCTAACCAAAAAGTTAGCAGTTTGAATCCACCAGGTGCTCCTTGGAAACTCTATGGGGCAGTTCTACTCTGTCCTATAGGGTCGCTATGAGTCAGAATCCACTGGACGGAAATGGGTTTTTTGTTTTTTTTCCTTCTTTTTGGAAACACTGGTGGTGTAGTGGTTAAGAGTTTGGCTGCTAACCAGTATTGACTCGATGGCAAGAGGTTTGAGTTTGTTTGTTTTTCTCCTTTGTGAGTAGAAATATCTATAGCAATTATCCTATGTCTGTCCTGCCACAGTATGTTGGGTTACGGAAGGCAAATAAATTGCTTCTTTAGTTTCACAGATTTACAGAAGGAGAGGTACTGAACTCAAGAGGCTGTTTTTAAGAAACAGATTGAGGACATTCATGCATACCTGGATGTGATTTAGATGGTAGGATTCGGGACTTTGAGATGATGTTGTAATAGGATGAGAGTTTTGAGGTCCTTGGAAGGGAATGAGTTTTTTGCAAGGGGTGGGGGAGGATGAAAATAGTTTATGCTAGAGGGAAGACTTAAAAAATATATCCACAAATTCTTTAGTAAGTTCTCCTCTTGAGTGTGGGCTGGACTTAGTGACTTGCTTACGATAAAAGTAATGGTATGTCACATCTGGGATTACTTTATAAAAACATTGTGGCTTCCATCTTGGGTGTGCTCACTATTTCTCTCAGATAACTTGCTCTGGGGGAACACATGTGATGAGCAACTCTGTGGAGAGGTCCATGTAGCCTCCTGCCAACAGCCATGTGAGTTTGAAAGTAGAATCTCTATCTCCAGTTAAGTCTTTAGGGACTATAGTCCTGACAAAGAGTTTGACAGCAACCACATGAGAGCCCCTGAACTGCCCAGCTAAGCTATTCCTAGATTCCTGACTGCCAGAAACTCTGAGAGATCATAAATGTTTATTGTTCTAAGCTGCTAAATTTGGGGATAGATTGTTATGCAATAATGCATAACTAATACATGCTCTGTGCAGCTCCGTCCTCTCTGGTAACTCTGCCCTGTAAATTCTAGCCCCCTTGCTCTGTGTTCTCAACTCAGCCAGTCTTAGGGGCTCTGTCTAGATTTCTCCTCCCTGTGCTGAAGCCTCAAAACTGCCTCTGGATAGTAAGCTGGGGAAATTATAGGGATCGACTTATTTGTTCCCATTCTCTCATAGGGCACAGTTCTAGGCTGTTTTTTGTCCATATCTGAAAACTGTTGTTTCATACATTTTGTCTGTTTTTCTAATTGCTTAAGGTGAAAGTTAAATCTGGTCCCTGTTACTCCATCAAGACCAGAATTAGTTTAAATCTTGACATTGATTTAAACGTGAGTGCCACTGGGAGTTAATATCCTCATGCAACAAAGATGCTCATGCAACTTAGTGAATGAGTTCTTTGTATTTTCTCAAGATTTTAAATTCTAGGGGGAGAAAAGGATTTAAGGTTAGTTTTAGACTCTGAGAGACTTCATGCCAATGAGAGTAGGATTGAAGGCATCAAAGCCAACTTTCTATATAGATAAGCCTGGGTTATAAAGTGCAACATGTGAGCACCTTGTGTATAAAAACAGTTGGTTCCACTTACTCTGATGCTTTGTTACTTATCTCCGCCTCCCCACAACCTCTGTCCTTACTCTGAGAGCACAAAAGCAGGACTCAGTTGATGCTTGCTACCATCTGGTGACATATGTAGTGACCTGTCTTAAACAACATATTTTTCCCAGCTGCTCTCTTCTTTCCTCTTAGGTTGGTAATGCACACACGCCACACTCCTGCCTTTTCTCTTCTATTTAACCACACACAATTTACTCAATACCGAATCAGGCTAGTTCTTTCTTTCATATACGTACATATACAAATTCAGTTTAACTGATGCTCTTATTTGCCTTTCCTAGTTAGGTTACAAAACTCTCCCACACATAATTCCTCTTTTATGCTTGATCTATCTATCTGTAAGCCAGACAAATTTTGCTGATGGTGGCTGAACACCAGCCTAGCTAGTGTTACAGCTCTGCATCAAGGAATTGAAATTGGAATAAAACATCATAAAGAAATCAATTTCCATCACCTTCTAAAGCATCTTGGAGAACTGCCTGAGAATTTTCACATCTATTTAGTTTAAATCACTGATTGAAAAAGATACATAAATAAATCATTCCTACCTTTTGAAATAGTTTAGTAGGAGAAATAAGAAAAGTATGCAAGTCATTACAACCCAAATACTTTATAATAGTCTTTGAAAACATACAGATAAATATAACAGGATTTCAAATGGGGAAAGAATTGAGGTAGCTGGGGATTAAGCAAGCCTTTACGTAATAATTAATATTTACTTGTACCATGAGGGATTGGTAGAGATTAGGCATAGTATGAAAAAAATAAAAAGCTGAGGTGGAAATTTACACAGGCACCCTGTGCTTTTGAGTATTTTTAACTTAATTATACAACTCATCTTGTTTTAGGGAATCACAAATATATTCTAATAAATATATGCAATTTAATATGCACCCCTTTCTACAGTTTAGCTTTTTTTTTTGCTGTTATTAAGATATATTATATGAGAAACATTTTAAGATTCATATCCTAATGGAGATATTTCATTGAGACTAGACTTCAATCTTAATAACGTGCTGTATTTAAAAATAAACTGCCTTAGTTTTTGTTTTGTTTTTTTGCCTAGTTTTAAGTTGGTGTAATTCACTACTATAGAAAAAAGTGCATAGGTTCCTAAGTAATCCGGATATTTCTTGAGTATCAGCAAACCCATACCCCAGTTTCTCCAGTTTTAGAGATTTTACAAGACAAAGTTAGGAGACAGAACACTCTAGACAAGCATACCTAGAGTGTCTTCATATTTGTTTTTAAATTCTGGACTACTCAAAGAAAGTATTCTAGGACCCTGCTTATTCAAACAATGGCTTTCCTTTGAAATAAGATCGCCTGCTTCCCTTAAAGGCATAGTAGTCACCTTTGACACGAGCTACAGAAGGTAAAACAACAAAGGGTGTGGGGAACCAATCTCAGTGCTGGAAATTTTCTTAAAAAACCGATTTAAATTAACTCCCATTTCTAGGTGTCTGGCCTAGTCCAGAAGATGCAAACAGCAGGTTAGATCAATCATCCTTCTTTGAGTCCTACAGGAATTGTTTGATGTGGAGGAGGGAGAGGCTGGAAAGGGGAGAAGGTATCGTGAAGAGCTGCAAAAACGGAGCAAGAAGAATATTTGGGGGTTGAATTACCCCATAAAGATAGACATAGCAACAACAACAAACAAGTTCAAAAAAGCAAAACAATCTCACCTGGTCTGAGATTTTTATAATAAAATATTTAATGTAGTTCTCTCTCACCTCAGCCCATTAGGAGTGTGTATGAGTGTGTGTGTGTGCGTGTGAGAGACGGAGAGGGAGACTGATGGCACAGATGAATGGGGAGCCAGAAAGATAAGGTGGGATAAGGGGCTCTGAGACGTCAGGGTGTCTACTGTCCTGGGAACCTTTGAAAAACACTCCATGACGAATTACATTATCTCCGGGCTTAGAAAATACCGAGAGAAAGATGGGAAGACAAATCAAAGGCTTTGGTAAACGAGGCGCAGCTTTGTGTTCAGGTCTGCCTTAGGTTTTGCTTTGCGCGATGCGCAGGAGGGGGGAGAACCGGACAAAAGGAGGAGCTCGAGGAAGGAGGTGGGGTGGGGAGGGGGAGGCACTTCTACCTGCACACACCTCCGCTGGGAGGTAGGGATGCAAATCAGGTCTCCCAGAGTGGACAATCAGGAGTCAGGTGAGGGAATTTGGGTCCCCACCTCCTCAATCTGGAGTGTGAGCACGTGTGCGGTGTTCTGGGACCTTTGTCCCGCAACGTCACGCCTGGCGGGCACCCCTAAGCCCCTTTTTCTTGTCGTCGGATTCTTTTTTCCTCCACACCCCACCTCGAGAATCGCGAATCCCCTTCACCCCCGACACACACATCAATTTCCTCCCGCGTTGCTGCGGGTAAGAGCCCTCAGCACTGCGATTCCGATGAGTGTGCGGAGCCTTGCACCCCCAGTTGCTGAGAGCCGCACCAGCCTCCGCCGGCTCAGCGTTGGTGCGGGCGGCGAGCCTCGGCTCGGACACCACCGCGCTCCTGCCCCCGCCGGCCAGTCCTTCGCCTGTCCCGAGGCAACACTGCCCGCCCTGCGCTTTCCGGCTCTCCGCTGACTGCAGGTCTGTCCTGTGGGGCTCCGGCTCTCGTCCGCTCGGCCTTCGAAATTCCTGCAACATCCAGAACACAGAAAATAGACTCATCACCTAATTCGCCAGGGAACCCCAGAGCACGGCGGGGCCCCGGCGCTGCCTCCTCCGACTCCTTCCCCCCACCCCCCCCCTCGGTTCCCCGCGGCCCCGGGCCCCCCCCCCGCGGGGGGGCCCCCCCCCGCGGCAGACAAAGGGCCTGGGCAAACTCGCCGCCTGGCCTCCTTGCACTCCGGGGAGGCGGCGGCGCCCACGGTCGATCGCGTAGGAGGCGCGCGCGGGGCAAGAAGCCGCGGCGGCGGGAGCGCGGCATGGGGAAGAGCCGCGAGATGCGCCTGACCCACATCTGCTGCTGCTGCGTCTTTTACCAGCTGGGCTTCTTGTGGAATGGGATTGTTTCAGGTAAGTTCTTCCGTTACTTTCCGGCTTGATTCCCAACTTCCCCCAGCAAAGTTGGAGAACGCACTGGGAGGGAGGGCTGGTGCAGCCCGTGCGCTGGGAGCGGGGCTCAGTGGGTAGCAATAAAAATGAGCGTGACGGTGTGCATGACAGGGTGACGCTCGTAATCCAAGCGCACTTCTCCCTGCCTCGTTTTAATCATCTGTGAAATGGTTAGTTTTCCCCTAATGAGGATAGTAATATTTGCAAAGGTACGTTTACAACACCTGGAGGAAAATTGGGAGGTACGTAAATTGATAGTGATGCTTTGCTTTGGCATATGCTTAAGAAAATCACTTAATTGTGCTGGAGTCTTTGCACCGGTTTTCCTTTCAGTAATTAAGTGCTGTAACCAAATTTTGCTCCCCCCTCCATATAATCATACTTTTATTCTGAAAATGCTGGGGTCCATAATCTGATCGCAAGCCCTCAGGGGTTGCGGGAGTTTCAGGGGCTGGACGGGTGGTCCTCAGTGCATTAATGCGTACGCCTTGTATTGGTGCAGAGTGAGAGCTTGGGAATGCTTGTGCTACTGGAACCGCGGCACTTCAAGCCCGGCTTTTCTCTCTGCCCCGCCCGCAGGGCTGCAGTTCGCCCCCGACCGTGAGGAGTGGGAAGTCGTGTTTCCTGCACTCTGGCGCCGGGAGCCAGTGGACGGGGCTGGCGGCAGTGGGGGCAGCGCAGACCCGGGCTGGGTGCGAGGCGTTGGGGGCGGCGGGAGCGCCCGTGCGCAGGCGGCCGGCAGCTCTCGCGAGGTGCGCTCCGTGGCCCTGGCACAGCTTGAGGAGCCCTCGGAGGGCCAGCCCGAGCCCCAGCGCCGGCCACCGCCGCCGCCGGAGGGCGAGGAGGACGAGGAGCTCGAGTCTCAGGAGCTGCCGCGTGGATCCAGCGGGACTGCCGCCCTGTCCCCGGGCGCCCCGGCCTCGTGGCAGCCGCCGCCGCCCCCACAACCGCCCCCGTCCCCGCCCCTGGCCCAGGCTGCTGAGCCGGATGGCGACGAGGTCCTGCTGCGGATCCCGGCCTTCTCCCGGGACTTGTACCTGCTGCTACGGAGAGACGGCCGCTTCTTGGCGCCTCGCTTCGCCGTGGAACAGTGGCCGAGTCCAGGCCCCGGCCCCACGGGGGCAGCGGCCGCCCCGAGCCCTTCCGCGCCGCCAGACTCCTCCTGCTTCTATACCGGGGCGGTGCTGCGGCATCCCAGCTCGCTGGCCTCTTTCAGCACCTGTGGAGGTGGCCTGGTAAGCGTCTTACTTCCCCAACTCTCAACCTTACGCTACCATTCATCGGGTTCCCCGCGTAGACCAGTCTGATTTGCATGCACCTCCTCCCGTTTCCACGTGCTTCCGCGGTACTTGGTTCTGGTCTGCACCACACTGATGTCTAGAGTATTCGCCTAAGATGGAACAGCTCCAGGGCAGTCAGTGAATGGGAAGGCTAATGGGATGGATAAATGGCCTTTTCCTTCTATAAGTTTATATACTTCTTTCAAATACTATTTGAAATCCTCTCTCTTTGTAACTTCTTCCCACTGGTTCTATTTCTTTCTTTCCTCCAGGGTTTTCCAAAATAAGCGGACCACGTGGTGGCTTTTGCTAGATTAGAAGACGGTCTGCTCATTGCTGAATCTCCTCCATGTTTGCCCTCCACCCCCAGTTCCTCATCTATTATCTTTCAGTTTTTTCATGTCCTGCCTCAAGGTTGTCAGAGCAGTTCTCCAGGGAATTACGCTCTGACAGCTGTCTAGAATCTAAATACATCCACAACTATCCTGGACGCCTGTTCACTAAGCTGTATGAGAGACAGGAGTAGGGAAGGAATAAGCTGACATACTGAGGCTGTTGACTAATAGGTGACATTAGAATCCAATCAGTATCCAAAGAGTTATGGTTCTATGATTTGACATATCTTTTCTAAGACTTAAATTTTATTTGGCAGTAGTTTCTTTTTCTTTTCTCACTGGGTGGGGGAAAGTAGCAAGGGTAAGAGCCTCGCTAAGAAGCCTATTGGCACTGCAAAGTAAAAGCCATTTACTCTGTCTAAATAATGTAGATTATCATTCAGTTTTTACCTCTGCCTTGACCCAGACATTGGGACTATTGTTACCTTCCATTAGATGGCCTCTACTTTTAGGTTATGGAAAAACCGACAAAGTATTGAAAAAAACCCATGTGATTAGTGGTTTCTTTTTCCTGTTTATAGTGAGCCATTGATGAAATCCAAAAGAACTTGTCTGAACTTCTCATGTGGAGAAAAATCCAATAGCAATAGGTAGGGGAAAATAACAGCACAATAAAGCCACCCAAAATCATGGTATGGAAAAAGTTAAAAAAATCCAAACAAAATGAAACTGTGAATTTTTACCGTTGGCCTTCTAGGTCCCATAGTCAAATGATGTAAATTGCTGAACTGGGCTGTGTTTTACCAGATTCTCATAATGATGAATATTCAAATATGGACATTTTTTATCCATGAATAAAAAAAAAATGGGCATAGAATTGAATGAGAAGCGTTTAAAATTGTTTTTTGTGGAACTGATGTTTGAACACTTCACTGGGGAAAACATTTTGTGGGGATTTCATTGTCCACTAGCTTTTGGCTGGGGATTAAATAATTATATATAGAATGTTCCTGGTGTGGTAGGAGCAATAGGGGATAAAGCATTTCACTATGTTGAAATGTGGCTTTTGGTCAGATTTTCCAAATGAGCTATGCCTTCTCTCCATATTTAAAGCAGCAAAGTCAGAATTATGAGTAGGTTTTTCATGGTCTGAATAGGAGTTTGACATACCTCCATGTTTATCACATTGGACTTTTACTCACTTTTTCTATTAGCCACATATGTATATGTTCTGAACTGGGAAGTCTTTGTTGTTGAGGAAAACTGACGTTGCCAGCAATACAGTATAGCAGTCAGACTTTGAGTAAAAAGTTAGGCAAATAGCCAAGAAGGGTGAGTTGTTACTCCAGAACTTGTTACTGCCAGTCCTTTTCCCTTATGAGCTGGTGAATTAGGAAAGAGAGAGCGTAATTTGTTATCTGAGCTTTGGCATTGGCTTGTTTCTTTGTGATGGACAAATTCTTACCTCTCTGAGCTTCGATTTTCATAAATAAAATGAGATAGTCTGATTACTTAATTAAATTACAGTTAAGATTCTGTTGAAGGGTAAATGCGTTCTAGATACTGTGCTAGGTCAGATATTAGAAGGACATCATATACAAGTAGATCCTGGGTGGTGCAAACAGTTTATGCTTGTCTGCTAACCTAAAAGTTGGCAGTTCTAACCTACCCAGCAGCACCGTGGCACAAAAGCCTGGCGATTTGCTTCTGTAAAGATTACAGCCAAGAAAACTTTATGGAGCAGTTCTACTCTGTAACGCATGAGGTTGCCATAAGTAGGAGTTGACTTGACGGCAGTGGGTTTGGTTTTTTTTTTTAATGACACAAGTAGCCATAAAACAATAACATACCAGCACAATGAATGAAAAGTAACCAGTTGCGGTTGAGTTCATTCAACTCACGGCAACCCTGTGTGTGTCAGAGCAGAACTGTGCTCCATAGGGTTTTCAATGGCTGATTTTTCGGAAGTAGATCACCATACCTTTCTTCTCACTTGCCTCTGGGTGGACTCAAACTTCCAGCCTTTCAGTTAGCAATGAAGCATGTTAACTGTTGGCACCACCCAGGGACACCAAATCAAACATTTTGCCTGAGGTGAAATCTTTCTGGGGGAGTTAGGGAAGGCTTCCTAAAGCACAGGGAATTTAAGTGGATTTTGAAGGATAGGGAGACTGTCTCCAGGGAGAAAAAGGGTGGAGGGGTGTTTTAGGTAGGGGGAAGAGACTGAGTGGAAGTATGATAGTGCGTAGCCTGCGAAGGGAATGGAAAAAAAAGAAAAAAAAGTCTTCTTTGACTAGGACAGAAGGTGCGCTGGAGGAGACTAATCCTAAAAAGTATGTTGGGAATAGACTTCAAAAGCCTTATCTGCTAGAGTGTGGACTTTTTCTGTCTAACTATAGATGTTCACCAACTACATTCCTGCTCCTCTGTATTCCCAGAATTCTGTAAACCTGTGATTCTAATGTGAGGAATCATGGTGCTTTATATGGCAGTTAATTATTTGTAAATGCAGCTGCCTTTAGTTTGCATTTTTTTCTTCCCAGTTGGTAGAGACTTTCTGATTGCACAGAAGAGAGTAGACCTTCAGCGTACCTTTCCTTCCTCTCTTTTCAGTATTTGGTTTTGTTTAGTGGTGCCTGAACTACTCAAAACCCTTTGGACTATTACATATCTGAAAGGGTCCAAAAGTGTTGATCAAGGGCAGTAGATCATCAGCTATCCAGCATTGCTGGGTGATAGAAATTGACAAGATTGGCCAGTTTGTTCTCCAGAAAGCCATCTAAATTGTGTTGGGAAGGGAAAAGTCCTGGAATGGAAATTTTGGATACGGGGTCAAGTGCTGCCTCTTCAAAGTACTTAACCTTTCTGGATCTCATTTTCCCTATTTTTAAAATGCACAAATTGTATTTGCATGTCTAGCAGTTGATCTATGGAGTATTTTTATTATGTCTGTTTCCTTCTTGTTAGTCTCTAAAATTAATAAACTTATTTGAGCCATATATTAGACCTCATAGGCACATAAATGTCTTAATACTAATGAATTAAACATATATTGAACAACTTCTATGAGGGAGAGGCATTCTGCAGATACAGAGAATACAAAAAGATGAATAAGCCTTGGTATGTTTCAGGGAACTCCCAACCTAGTTTGCCATCCACAGACCTAAACAGGGAAATACACTAGGTTGAGATAGGTACAAATAGGGGTGTGCCCCAGGTTCTATGATGGTACTGTCTTGTTCATCTCTTTTTGTTTTCAGTACTGTGTAAGATACCTAGTTCTTGGTAGGCACTCGGTAAAATATCACTGAGTAAAATACAACACGTGAAGTACTTTATTATGTTTTAAATGGTATCTTAAAAAAATACACAAAAGCAACAAATTAAATTCCATGAAACAGTGCAACTATTATGTTTGCTCAAAATTAACTCAATGATTATTCTTTAAAGCATACCTAAGCTCTGGGCCAAGGTAAACTAAAACTCGTTGCTGTCCGTCGAGTCGATTCTGACTCATAGCAACCCTGTAGGACAGAGTAGAACTGCCTCACAGAATTGCCAAGGAGCACCTGGTGGACTTGAACTGCCGACCTTTTGGTTAGCAGCCATAGCACTTGAGGTAAACTAGATCAGTGCATATCTTCACTATGGTTCTCTTTAGGCAGAATATTGAAATGGCTAGCAGTAATATTTCGATTGTTTGTCCAGGATGATAAAGAGTGACTACTGAAACTGTTATCAGTTTATCTACTTAAATTAAACTTCTATAAAACCAGTTATCATCAGGTCAGCCTCAACTCATGGAAGCCCCATGTGTGTCAGAGTTGAACTGTGCTCTTGGGGTTTTCAGTGGATGATTTTTCAGAAGTAGATTGCTAGGCCTTTTTTCTAAGGTGCCTCTAGGGAGACTCGAACTTTTGTCCTTTGGTGAGTGGCTGAGCACGTTAACTGTTTGCACCACCCAGGAATTCCAAGAGTTTTATACAGTAGTCATTTTGATTAATTTTTGATACAGGATCTAGAGTCCTGTATAAATTCATTGTTGGCAGTTTACTCTCTTATTTGAATCAAATTCTTCCCTTTCCATACTAGAGACCCAAATTCAGTTCCAGGCCAATGTACCTCATGTGAAGCCACCACTAGTGTGTTGGTGGAGGCTTGTGTATTGCTATGATGTTGAACAGGTTTCAGTGGAACTTACAGAGTAAGATGGACTAGGAAGAAAGGCCTGGCAATCACTTCCAAAAATCAGCCAATGAAAACTCAGTAGATCATAACGGTCCTATTTGCGATCAATCATGGGATGGCACAGGACCAGGCTGCATTTTGTTCCCTTGCACACTGGGTCACCATGAGTTGGGGCTAGCTTGACAGCAGCTAACAACAACAGCATTCTATTTTATGGCAAGGTTTGACCAATTAATAAATATTTTTGAGCATCTACTTTGAGCAAGGCATTGAATCCAGTACCAGTGTTGAAGCAGGAGGGGAGGGTGTCAAGGCAGGGATGGGGGAAGGGTAATGCATAACAAGAACTGAGTAGAAGTAGAACCAGCAACCAAATGAAAACAATTAAGATTGCACATTGACCTCACACATCTGCTTTCTTCTTTCAAGCCA